TAAATACAATATGAGGAAAAGAAGAAGAAAAATAATGGTGCAGATAAGACTTTTGTTACATATGTCGACTAGTAGTATTAAGCAATGTTATCAGAACCGACCCATTCATTGACCCGGCCGAGGTACTGGGTCACTGATTCAACTGATGAGTCATCGGCTGAACCACATGACCCGAGTTAGTATATAAAAATCCATAAAATATTCAAATACATGTAAAATATTGTTATACTGGGCTGCAAGCATATATAATTTTGAAGGGATAAAAAAAGTCATATATGATAACCACATACAATATATCATGAAAGAAACAAACAAAGAAAAAAGAAAATTCAAGTATCAAGTAACCATATATAATTCATCTATCAAGTATCATCAACTAACTATGTTTAACAATTATAAGGCATTACCAACTCTTCCCATAAAAATGGATTTGTAAGGAATTAATATGTCACATTCTCTTAATTTACTGTCTCGTAAATTACTTTGGTCCTAGAAACTGGAATTTGATGTCACTATAGGAGAATATACAACTAGCAAACAAAACTACAAAAGTTTTTGGATGGAGTTACTTTTTTCACACAAGACGAGACACCTTTGATTTTTTTATTTTTTTATTTATAAAAATGCATGACCTGTCGGTTTTCATGACCCAATCGGGTCACTAGGTTTGACCGGGTCCGATACGTGACAGGTCCGATACTTGACTCAAACCGATCCAATGATCGGTTCGCTAAGTTCTGAGTCGACCCGGCCAGTTCGAGCTGGGTCTGATAGCACTGGTGTTAAGATATATAAAATAGGAGAAAAAAATAAGAAAAATAATGGTGCAAGTAAGACTTTTACTACCCATCATAATTGTAAATTAGAAGTTTTAACCAATTCGGGTCTGTAATATCCAGTGGCAGAGCCAGGAAATAATTTTAACCCGTGCGAAAACATCCATTCAGATATAACCCAACCAGTTCCAAGATTGTACGATTTTTGAAAACTCAGCCCGTGCCAAAATTGTACCATAATATTTAATTAAAACCTATATCATTTTTTAAAATCAGCCGGTGCCAAGGCCCTAGCTGATCTCAACATGGCTCAGTCACTGGTAATATGATTTCCTTTTGCACCCAGTGTTTTTCTTGTGGCCCACATTCGATCCATGTAAATTTGAATGTTGAGAAAAGAAAATGGAGTATTTGCTAGCATAATAGAAACTCCCCATGTTCTCTTTGCTAAAGCATCAACCATTCCTTTTTTTCTCTGGTGCTTCTTGCTCAACATGTTTTTTACACCACATGACTTGTCTTTAATTTTTTTTTTTCAAATTTTAAGAGGGGCGGCAACCCACCCTAGTCCCATGATCCGCCTCTGGTAGCTCACAACTAGTGGCTTGCTTTTTAACGTTTTGAACATCAAATATCTAAGGCATATATCATTGGGTTATACATGTATAATGTTACATGAAAAACACCGTTCGATCCTGCAGAGACATAAAAGAAGAGAGAGAAAGTGAGTTGAGGAAAGAGAAAAGAAGAAAATGTGGATCCCATGTCTTTTTTGTTTGTGCAGGAAAACAAGTTTTATTTCTATTACATAACAGATACATTTCCTTATATCATTTAAGAAAGTGGAATACAAACCATAGTTATATTTAAGGGAAAAAAGACTATCATTTAAAAGGACACAAGTTGTGTCCTTTTAGGCTTTGTTTGGGAGTTTGGAGGGGAGGGGAAGGTAGGGGATCCAAGGGGGAGGGAATTGGAGGAAGGGAAGGAAATTGAAGGGTATTCCCTTCCCTTGTTTGGGAGTTAAAAAATGATAAAGGAGAAAAAATGAGGGTTAATGAGATATTTTTACCATTTTATCCTTTTTTTTAAATTAATATAATTATTATATTTTACAAATTAAATTAAATTTAAAATTTCTAACAAAATTATTTATGTACTTTTCACAACACCAAAAAATATCATATTTTCAATAAAATTTCTACGTTGCAAACGATGAAATTTTCATCACAAAATTATTTTTTTTCGTCGGAATACTTTTTGTCGAAAAGCGACGAAATTTTTCAACTGATAAATTTTTTTACAAAACTAAATTTTCTATCAAAATTTTCGACGAAATTTACTTTCCATCATGAGTAAGCCCATTTTGGTCCCCAACAATAAAAAAGGCTCATTTTGGTCCTTAATTTTACAAAAATAGGGCCACGTTTGTCCTTCCGTTAGTTGGCGTCCAACGGCCCAACTAACGGAGCACACATGAAACATTAGTTTGTTGAGTCACCGTTAAGTATGCCAGCGTGGAAGTAATACGACGCCGTTTTGAACATGCCTTATGTCTTCTTGGAGTTTTGGACAGCTCACCCTAGCATCAAAAGCCCTAGTTGGTCCCTAACAAATTTATCGAGGCCTTATTTGGTCCTTAACACTAAAAAAAATGGACATGAACACATAAGTTGCAAGGCATATTGCAGCAAACCACCAACCACAAACCTTTCAAACCACCATTGCAGCAATCCACAGGCCCTACTTGATCTTGAATGTGAACATTATTATGCATGCATTATATATATTATAAAACCAGACAAGAACCGCTAGCATGACAAAAAATGTATATATATTATTCGTGGAATTTATAGATGTTGGGGGGTATGCATATGTATATTACCATTCCAGCTAATAAGCAAATGGAAAGATGGACACATTGCAAAGATTTGGCGGTAAGCAAATTTTTTCGAGTGAAGTAAATTTTTACTAGTGAACCCTCTTATACTTGTTGCTTACCGTTCCACGTGTGCTCCGTTAGTTGGGCCGTTGGATACCAATAAGCAAACTAACGTTCCACGTGTGCTCCGTTAGTTGGGCCGTTGAATGCCAACTAACGGAAGGACAAACGTGGCCCTAATTTTGTAAAATTAAGGACCAAAATGATCCTTTTTTATTGTTGGGGACCAAAAGGGGCTTAGTGAAAATTGTCAGGGACGAAAAGGGGTATTTACTCCTGTTTTAAACTAAAACAGAATTTTGTCAAAAATTTAGACGGAACATTTTCGGTTCAAAATTTTGATGGAAATGTGTTCTGACAAAAATTTCGACAGAAATTGTTTTGTTAGAAATTTTGATGGAAATGTTTCATTCGAAACTTTTGATGAAATTTAGATTCTGTAAAGAATTTTGACATAATATTTTTTCCGTCAAAATATTTATTCGAAATATTTTTCATCAAAAATTTTTGCGAAAATATTTTCTGTCAAAATTTTTTACAGAAATGCATTCCGTTGAAAATTTTGATGGAAATGTTTTTTATCAAAACATTTGACAGAAATATTTTTGTTCGAAAATTTTCGATGGAAATGTGTTTCGTTAAAAATTTTCGCAGAAATTTTTTTTGCCAAAAAGTTTAACGAAAATGTTTCCGTCAAAAACTTTCGACGAAATTTAAATTTTGTTAAGAATTTTGATGAAATTTTTTTTTGTCAACAATTTTGATAGAAATATATTTCGTCAAAAATTTCGATGAATATGTTTTTTTGTGAAATAATTTGGAAAAATTTAGATTTCGTAAAGAATTTTTACAAAAATATTTTGTCACAAATTTTGATGGAAATATTTTTCGTCAAAATTTTGATGGAAATATTTTTCGTAAAAATTTTTGACGTAATTGTTTTACGTCGAAACTTTTCGATGGAAATGTGTTTCGTCAAAATTTTGGACGGAAATATTTTCGTTAAGAATTTCGACGGAATTTAGATTTTGTCAATAATTTTGACTGATTTTTTTTTCCGTACAAAATTTATGTTAGTGATTATGCCAAAATCTGGTTTCGTCTTTAGTTTTGACGGAAACTTTTTGACGTATATGATTTTTATCAAAAGTTTCATCACTATTTTTGAAAAAATATTTTTCGTCAATAGATTCTGTCGGTATTTGAGACTTTTCTAATAATATCGCATTTAAAAATGATTCACAATTATATAATTTTAATATTTTAATGCTAAGGGTAGATAAGTAATTTTTAATATTTTTCCCCTCAAACCTTCCAAATTGGGGAACTTTAATTTTAAGAAGAAGGAGGATTTTGGAGGATTTAGTAAAAATTTCTAAATTCTTCCTCTTTTTTTAAACTCACAAACAACGCTAAAACCCTCCTTTTTCTTTCCTTCTCCTCTTAAAATCATCTCTCAAACAAAACCTTAGATGATTTACACAAAGTATGACTGTTCATACTTTGTGTAAATCTGAAAAGTTTTTTTTTTTCTTCCCAGTCACATAGCTGATGTGCAAAGTGAAAAAAAAAACAATTTTTCAGAATTACACAGAGTATGACCGGTCATACTCTGTGTAAGTCACTAAAAAGACATAACTTGTGTTCTTTTGAACGACACACTAAATCCTATGTTTAATAATGATAGTATTCTTGGAGTTGAAGAAAGCAACAACACCTTGATTGTCAGAGAAATTGTCCAATAATTATAAATTTGGTATTATTAAAACAATAAGTTTTCTATTTTTTTAATGGAACTTCTTATTAGCTTAACAAGATTATATCATGTTGGAGGATCTTAACTATATAAAAATAAATCAACCGTGATAACTTATTTTTGTACGATTATAATTTCCTTATATGACATGGTCATGTTCAGTACTACATAAGATAATCTACTCCATTTTTTTATTACTTTCGGGATAGAAAGTTAAAATTTTTGGAACTAAAACAATTTAATTGAACTAAAAAAATGAATATTTTTTTTATAGAATATAGATTACTCAACCAATCCAATTCGAGTTGAATAAGACAAGGCAAAACTCTCCCTATTAATTGTGTTCTTCACTTTAAATTCTAAAAACTATAAAACAAATATTATTTATAAAATCATCCATCATAAAATATCTATTATCACTTTTTCTTTTTTACTTTTAAAAGCAAAAAATAGTTTTTCAGAACAATAAACAAACAGTGCCTTCTTAGTATTTCATGTGTGCATGTTGCGTATGTGATCAAGTTAGTAATAATAGCAGTGGCAGCGAAGGCAGCACCTGAAACAGAGTAAAGAAAAGAGGAAGGTCAAAGAAAACCGAATAACTTAGGAATCTGATTCTCTCTCCATTCTATTCTGATTAGATCACAGTGCTTTCATCATTCCAACGCTTCCTAGACTATGTATGTATATCATCTCTATTCTATTTGTGTTTTTTTTTTTTTTGCTGTTCATGGATCAATGCTTATTTGTTTCCCGAGAAAACAAATGAAAAATTTTGAATTTTTTTTTTGTTGAGAAAATTAGGAAATGGGTATTCTTCTTTTTGGAAAATTTTCATTTTTTTAACTAAGCAGCTCAAAGGGTGTCATCCAGAAATTCATGGCCCCAAAATCTTATTGTTTATCTGTAATCTATTATCTATCCCCTGAAATTTCTCAATATAATTGGGTATACATTTTGTGTTGGTGGAGTTCAATCATGTTAGGAAAGCAAATTGTGGTGATCTGGTAGAAGTTAGAACACCACATAGCTGTAAGAAAATTTTAAGCTTTTGATATGTTATAAGTGCAGTCAACTTCAAAATTTCTTCTTTTGAACCACTATTACTATAGTGATTTGATTGGTTTTTGGATGTTTCTAACACTAAGCGTCTTCAATGAATCCTTCCTTTACCTATAACTTTGCATTCTTAAATTTGTCTGCAAGGAGCAAGAAAAATAATATTTCTTATATTTGAATTTTAGTGGCTTATATGTAGATTTGATCTTTGTTAAGCTGTTGCTAATGTATTTGTTTGGTTTTGACCTTGTTATATGAAGAAAAGGGTAAAAAAAAATGGAGGGAACTGTCTTCGCTCCTGCACTGGAAGAACTTCAGCATGTAAAGTCTGAGCAAGGAGAAATTCTGACCAAGCCTTTCTTGGATGCATGCAAGCATATATTGCCTGTTATAGGTGCATCCTCTTGATCCCTTTACTTTGTTATTGACACAACAATAATAAAAGGAAAGAAGGCTATGTGATGTTATTTGGACGTTTTCCACAGTGTTTCCTCAATTTTTATTTTTATTTTGTTTTTTGTTTTTTTAACGGTAAGGGGAAAATCCAAATATCCTTTTGTGTAATCTTTTGTGTATTAAATGATATTGTATTTATTAGATCTTGATGAATTCTAACCTCTTTGATCCAAGTAAGATGCATAAAAGTGAGAATTTCCGTAGTGGAGTACTGTTCTCTTGGTCTCCTTCTCTCACCACTCTTCACTGAGATATTTTTTTCATCACAAAAATATGGAAAATGTTGAAACTGCTTTTAATCTATCTTTCTTAGTTACTTGGGTATCCATATCTTCTATTTATAAGGACAGAATTATTTAAAAAGAGAAAAGATACAAAACAGGACGATTAGGAATCGTTGTAGACCAGAAACTTGTCTATGCCTTTTTATCTTTAGAAGTACTTTTATGTTACTGTCTAACTCTACAACTTCAACATGTACAACACAATAGATTATGAACCTATGCACACTTGGTTTAGAGTCTGCTTAAGCGTCAAATATATGATGTGAACACTTGTACCATGGTTAGAAGAACTAATGCTTTTCTTATGGCAGATAAGTTTGGAGCTGCTATGGCCCTCGTCAAAACTGACATTGGTGGTAACATATCGGTATGTTTTTGTCAACTGCTCTGTCTGACTCTTATTTGACCATATGTATCATCATATTCTTTCTTGCAGCTTTCAATGTATATTTTCTTCTTAAAACAATGTGGTATAGCTATGCTGTGGTGTTGGATTGTGATTCATTTTGTTTTTTATTCGCTGGGATTCTATCTGACTTGCATAATAGCTCTTGTGTTTTAAATTTTTTAACAATTATTGGTATGTACATGTACCTATACCTTAATTTGATATTGGGATCATGTGTAATATGTTCTCTATACCATATTGTTTTTCATGGCAGAGATTGGAAACTTCATATTCCTCCAATCCATCCAGATTTAACTACCTGTACAGTTTGGTACAAGTAGAGGTTGAAACTAAAACTACTAAATCGTCATCCAGTTGTACCAATGGACTTCTTTGGCTGACAAGGTAAAGAACATGATGCAGTTGACATTTAACTTTTGTTTCATATTGGCATGACATTCCCAAATCTGTTATTTGGAGAACTCTTTTAATAATTTGTGATGGGGTTAACAATTTTTGATGTTTCAAGTGTAGACTGTGTTGTATTGTGCTTGAAGTCAATGAATCCAATAGGATAAATAAAGGGAAAAGAGTAAATCCCGGTGCACAAGGCTTCTCGATTTGTGATGGTAGGGATGAGGATGTATTGTACACAGCCTTACTCTTGCATTTTGCACCTCTTGCATTTTTGCAAAGAGGCTATTCATTAGACTTAAACCCGTGATCTTCCGGTCACAAGGAGCAACAAGATAAATATTGGATAAAAAATATTAATATATGCATCTTATTCTAGACACAGATTTTTGGAAGAAATGTCAAAAGTTATGTGGGACGTGTTTTCCAAAATTAGGGATCAGAGTGCTGCATGAAACTAGCCATTATCAAATAGAATATTCATGTGTCTGTGTGCATAATCCATGCATACATGGCTATTACGCAAGGATGTTTAATATCACAAATCTGCCATGATAATCCCAAATAACTTAGGTTGTGGATCAGCACAGACCAAGCCTGGCTCTTTCTTGTAAATGATCAAAAGCCTGAACTCATTTCTTGTTTGTTTGGAATGAATGGTAAACTAGAGTTGTGAATCGAAGCTTTGGAATCACATGATTTCCAATTGAGTAGAAGTAAATCACAGTATATGGAGTGCAAGTTTGGCAAGATGCGTGCTAGCACCGACTTGGAAGTGAAAATTGAAGATCAAACTATACTAGAAGTCACACAGTTTAGGTATCTTGGATCTCACACAAAGACAGAGAAATGTTAATTATTGGATTCAAGTTGGGTGGATATATCAACATTAACATCACCTTGATCACAAACTAGTTGGGGTCTATGGTTTATGAACCCCAATAAAAAGCAAAAAAAGGTCAAGGGAAAAGAAAAATAAATAAGAAGAATAAATAAATAAATAGATAAATAAATAAATATAAGGAAATGGAGAAATGCTCTAGGCGTTCTTTGTGATCAAAGGTGCCTATCAAACTCAAAGGAAAATTTTACCCTAAAGCCATAAGACCATTGATTCTTTGTGGTACTAAAGGTTAGGTGGTAAAGAGCCATGCCAACAAGAGCATAACTGTTGCTGCAATGAGAACATTGCGGCCTTGCTGGGGACGAGTAAGCATACAAGAAAAAATAAAATCAGGAATGAATGAGAGAAAGAGTAGGAGTAGCACCTATTGAGGAAAAGATGATAGAATCTTGCCTAAGATGGTTTGGCCATACGAAAAGTGAATCGATGGAAGCTCCTGTAAGAAAAGTTGATCTGATGAAAGATAACCCGATAAATAAAGGTAAAATTAGACCCCCCCCAAAAAAACTCTGAGAAACCATTAAAATTTACATAGATCTAAATGACATTTCTGTAGACTTAGTTTTTAATTGAGTACAATGGTGTAGTTTGATCATGTAGATTACCGCACCTAGTGGGAAAAAACTTTTGTTGTTGTTGTTGTAACTTTAAGCACTGTGATGGATCCTTTACACGAGCTTCAATTATCTTTTTTCTTCTTCTTTTTTTTTTTTTTTTAAACTTCTCAAGCTTCTGCTAGTTCAGCTTATGTTTCTCAAGGTATTCGGGCATTAATATGATAATCTTAATAATTTTTATTTGGTGGCCAGAGATATTAGCTAATGATTATTAGTTGCCATTATTTGTTCATGTAATATTGTTTATGATACATTTATATCTATAACCTGTAAAACCTTCAGAGCAATGGATTTCTTGGTGGCTTTGTTCCAAAACTTAATCGAGCATGAAGATTGGCCAATGTCACAAGCATGTACAGATTCCTACAACAAGACTCTGAAGAAGTGGCATGGCTGGCTTGCTAGTTCAAGCTTCACGGTAGTGTTCTTTTGATGCTTTGTTGATATAATCTTGAAACTTCTTGATAGAAATAGAATTTATTCATGCTTCACTGCAATATAATCTTGATTCATATTGGCTTAAGTCTGTGGAATGTCAATGGCTGGACCTTGAAATAGTCATCCTAGGAAATGCTTGATTTTACTATTTGCATTATTGTGCTGTGAACTCTCTACAATCTTTGCTCTTTATCATATGAATACTTCATATTTTAATGCAGCATGAAATATGCATTTAACTATTCAGACTATTACTTTATTTGTCTTAGTTTTCTATAATTTAGACATGCTGCATATCAGGGTTCTGAGTAAATGAGTTGAACGATGTTGTTTTCATTAAATCATTTAAATACGATGATAAAATAACTACATTTTTATCTTTTAGTTTGTAAAATGCAAGTTGTGTACAATCAACCTTCATTTCTACTCTCACAAAGTCAGGGAGTCTTTGTGCATTGAGATTTGCCCTTTTTATATTTTTGTTTCCATACATTAGTCTATTTAACGTAGATCACAGCATTTAAACACCATACATCTTTCCCTTGACTCCCCATCGCGATCATTGTTCCATTATTTTGTGTTTTTCTGTTATTTTATTTGTCTTTTGTCACTGTGTTTTTCTATATAGGAAGGGGTAGTATAGTATATGGAATAGAATACACTCTTGGGACTTATGAAATATTTGACCTACAGGTAGTCATGAAGCTTGCTCCTGATAGGAAGAAGTTCATGGAGGTGATAGGAGGCACCGGTGATATCAATGCTGACATAGAGAAATTTTGTTCAGCCTTTACTCCTCTCCTTGAAGAGAATCACAAGTTTCTGGTAAGATGTTGGGTCATTTTTGGGCTTATTGATGACATCAATGACATTGATCTGAATGAGCTGGAAGAATACATTGAACTGTATTCAATGCATCATCAAGTCTGGCTTAAGCCATTTTAAATTAAAAAGATTCAAATACATTATCATTATTGTAGCTTATTCCATTATTAACCCCCGACAATTCCATGAGAAAGATTATTTTATCATAGTTCTAGAGGTATGTAGGTTACTTGGTAATGAAAATATGTGACATCAATACACAAGTTATTTAAATAAATAACTGTAAAGAACCATTTTAATTCAAAAGCTTAAGTTGTTGGGTGAAGATCACATTAATAGTTTTATATTATATTTCTCGAACACTTTCCTTCATACAAGAATTCATTGGGCTTGAAGGGTAGACAATACACATGCTCATTTACCCGTGCTAAAAACTCACAATATTTGATTATTTATTGATATTATGGGGCAATAAGGATTGAACTCCTGATCATTGGTCATGGAAGCTTTAATACCATTTAAAGAACCATTTCAATATAGAAACTTAAATTGTTAGGTGAATACCATATTAAAGATTTTATATTTTACTTCTCTAATAATAACAATGAGCAAAGCGATCTTACTCTTAATGGGAGTCCAAATTAACAATTTTAAACTCTCAAAAAATTTTGCTCTGGAGCTCACTAAACTTGCTCTTTTGACACAGGCTCGTTTTGGCTTGGATGATATCAAGGCATCATGAATCACGGATTCATGGTCAGAAGTTCTTGATGAGTAGCTTTTGCATGGTCACTTTCGTTTCTTATTGAATCTATAAACTCCATGTTTCACCTTTGGCATCCAGATGAACGAGCATGATAAATAAGCATTGACTTCAATCTTGTGCCGCTAATTACTCTATAAGATATTATAGTGGTTCTTTAGTCATGTCAAAACCCTATGTGCATGACTTCAATCTCTCTATTTTTCTATTATTTTCTATGCCACATCAAATAATGTGCAAGTCCCTTTATAGTTTATACAACATGCGATGCTACTTGAACACGAGTCATTCATAATGTGGCAGCACCACATCAAGAGGCATTGCTTTACATGGTGTAACACTTCGGGAACAAAAAATGTAACCCCATATGGGCATGAGCTACTCATGGAAGCTTATCACCTGGCTCAAATTATATGAACACAAAATATATACCATATTGCATTGTCATCGATGAGGGTAGGTGGATAGATTTTAGTGACTAGCAGCAATGGCACACACAACGATATGATAGTGATTTGTGATGATATAGTGGTGGAAGGTTATGCATGTTGAATATTTCACATGACATAGACAAAAACATTTCGTATTATAAAAAAATAGACCGTTAAATGATTTGAATGAGTTTATTTAGAATGACTTATTTTCATATTATAAATAAGAGGAAGAATCTGTTTACAAATTTTTTTTACAAATTACGTTATATACTTTCAGAAGTATATAGTGTAACCTAATGTATTTTTGAAAATACATATTGTAATTTGTAAGAGTTTGTAGATAAAAAATTTGTAAATATAACCATCCTCCATAAATAAATAATTGTCTTTTATGATAGAATAAATCAGCAGCACTTTGACTTCAAGAAGTCTTCTAATTGAAAGTGCTTGAAATAATTGTACAGAAAAAATGTATAGAGAGAGAAGAAGAGATGATAAGTTTTTGAATGTACATATAGAGTATGGGTGGCAATTTGTGTCCCGACCCGCGAACCCGACCCGGACCCGACACGAAATTTTCGTGTATGGGTCAACCCGTTTAATAAATGGGTCGTGTTAGGGTTGGGAAAAAAATAACACGAAAAAATCGTGTCGGGTTACGGGTTAACCCGTGAACCTGCTTTGACCCGTAAACCATGATATAAAAGGAAAAAAAAATACCTAGGTTTCAATTTACTCCAAGGCTCCAAGCTCCAGCGCCGCAGCTCTCTGGCCATTTTTTAGTACAACAATACCGACGACCATTCGCTTGCATTTTCCCCTCTCCTCGGTAAGACTTCATTTCTTCCCCTCTCCGCTTGCAGCTCTCCCCACACTATACTGTTCCTTCATTTTCTGTTCATTTTAACGAAATCTCTTTGGCCAATAATTAGTCTAATAGTTGTTTTGTTAAATTATTTGGATACAGCGACATATTCAACTTGGTAGTGGGTTGTCTTCTCCAACCACAAAACATATGTTATCATTTATTTTTGGGTAGACGCGAAAGCTGATGATTTTATAAACAGGTTTAAGAAGCAACTTAGGTTGCAGAGGGTTGATTCTCTTCTCCGTTACAGAGATATGCTCAGAGGAAATTGAGAAGAGAAGAGAAACCCTTCTTCACTTTGAAATTGAAGTCATCACTGTTTATTGACGGTGAAGAAGGAAAAGCACAAAACAATGCAGGCTTAACGTCTCTTGTAAAAGGTTAAAAAGGTCGTCGTCGTCCGTCATCGTCATCATGGTATATGGAATATATGGAATATGCGTGTGCGTCTCTTCGTAGTTAGGTGATGTTCTTTTACCAAACAAGAAAAAAACTGGCTAAGTTTGTTGTATTAGTGCTTGGAAAATAACAGTAGATGCGTGGATTGGTTTTACAAGTGATGGAATAAAGGTTTCCAGCTACTTATTTCTTCACTGTCAATGGTATATGGAAAATATGTGGGTTTAAATTCTTTTACTAGAATGTTATCATTTATTTTTGGGTAAAGGATTTCTCTATTAGCTTTGGAAGAATTGACAGAAGATATCATGGAACAATTGAGTCTACATTCAATAACTGATCATGGCGCTCAAAATAGTTACTCAGTTGTTCAATGACTTTTATATTTCAAATTTTCAATCAGTTAATTATGAGACATTTGTAATCTTAATGTGTATTTTGGATTTAATTATGAGACATTTGTTGTAAGAATGAAACATTTGTTGTAGGTTGCATTTAATTATGTTTTGATATTCAGTTCAAATCAAGTTATTTTAATTTGAATTAGATTAAACAAATTTAATATGATTTGAATTAATATCACTTTGTGTTTACTCGGGTCGTGTTGGGTCGGGTCGGGTCGTGTCGTGTCGTGTCAATACAGGTTGCCCTCAAATTCGGGTTGTATCGTGTCAACCCGTTTATACATGGGTCGTGTGCGGGTTGAGTTTTATAACACGATTTGTTAATCGTGTTCGGGTTGAGTCTATTCGTGTTCGTGTCAGACACAGAACGACCCGAACCCGACCCATGAACACGAATTGCCACCCCTAATATAGAGTATAAGTAGTCCCGGATTGAGAGGACACACCTCTTTGCTCTCGAGACACACTTTTTGTGCTGAAAATATATTTATTCTGGATTAATCCGATAATTAATAAATTGGTGAAGAAATTAAAAAAAAAAATTACTACTAAAAAAACACACACATATTAAATGTCGAAAAGACACATCCATATAACTTCTTATTCATAATCATAATTAATTTACAATAAATTCTAACATATTGAAAATAAACTATTATGTATCAATAACCTATATGAGATGGTTTTCTGTTATAGAAATTGAACCTCGAACCTTAAAAGGGATTAATATTTCTTATGTTATAAAAAATAATTTTATTTTCTACACATACATAAAAGTATGTGGAACTCATTTTTCTTTTCTCTCTTCTCTTCACAAGGCTTCACACACTTTTATATGTGTATACGAAATAATTTTATCTTTTATAAGATAAGAAACAATAATCCCAACATAAAATTTCCTTACTCCTTTGGTAATAAATAATGGGGAAGGATATACTTACCACCAAAAATGTTTACCACTTTTACAACCAACTTAATCACCATTGATTTCTGTCAATCTAACGGTTATACTTATTTGGAAATTATTTTTGTATTATTAATTAATTATTAATTTTTAATAAATTATAACCGTTAAATTCACGGAAATCAACGGTGATTAGATTGATTGTAAAGATGATAAATATTTTTGGAGGTAAGTATATCATGTCCCATAAATAATTCTATATACATTTTTTAATATTTTGTTCGATATATTTACAAAATAATCATTCACTTTTTGTCACAATTTTAAGTGAAAAATATAAAAAAAATAAAATTGCGATGTCGAAAATTCCCAACCCAACAATTCTCTTATTAATAGAATGGATTTAGCTTTTTATGGTTCATCAATTATCATTAATCAACCTTATTTCTCGTGCTTTGATTATAAAAGAAGACCATTAAAAAACACTGAACCCAAATATAGCATTTGCTCCTGAAAATTGTAGTGCTACATATCTGGATTTTAACCTAAAAATACGTGGAGCTTCTGGTTTTGATTTGGGGGATGGTGGATCAAAAACCAATGCTCTCTGGGTTTTCACTTTTGAGATTTTTCCACCCTCTAAGTCTCCATCTTCTTGGTTGGTTTTTTTTTCTCCTAAACAAACCAACCAAGAAGCATGCACATCTTTTTTTCCTGCATAACTAGTTTATGTCTTCTTCACTGATACATGCTTGAGGTTCTGTGGTTTTTAATTTCAACATTAGGGACCCCATTCAAGTCATGTCATTACTTTGAACATTTCTTCTAAAGGTAGCCAGGTTGGTGTTTTTGTTGTAACATTTATCTTATCGTATCTTTATTTTATTATTTTTAAAGATAACGATAAGATTATTTCTTGTGATCGAAAAATTATATGAGAAATAGCCTCTTGCAAAAAAAATTATAATTTTACCCCTACCATAACAAGTGGGGAAATTTTGTTTACAAGAATTTGTCCTATATATTTTGTGTTTTTTGTCGGTTACTTCTTTTTCCAACTCAAATTTTCCATCATGAAAAGAAAGATGACAAAGATTTTTATTTTTATTTTTTTTTTCATGTTGAGAAAGTTCATAGGTGAAAAGTTAATTGGTAAATGGATTTTGGAGATTGGCATAGTCACTCAATTTGTGTCATTAAGTAATATGGCCAAATGATTAAGTATTATGAAAAAGATTTCTTATATGATCATTTGGCTTACTTTTTTTTTTTTTTTTTTTTTTTTCAGAAAGTTTTAGTTGATTCCATTGAAGATTGAAAGCACTTACAGCAATGTCGACCAAGGTGAAAGGCCTCCTTAAAGGACTTAGATACATATCCCAAATATTTGGTAAGTGCAATCTCAATTCTCACAAAGAAATTGAAATGAAAATAATACATTTTCTTAACCCCTCAAGTTATAAATTGTGATAATTTTGCAGATGAGAAAGAAGAAGAAATTCAAATTGGGCTCCCAACAGATGTAAAGCATGTGGCACATATTGGATCAGATGATCCATCAGCCAATGCACCTAGCTGGGTACTATTCTTTTATTTAGTTTATAATTCTTCCTTAAGAAGCATTTATTTTTGGGTGGTTTTTAAATGTGTAATTTGAAAACTTGTGCAGATGACTGACTTCAAATCAACAAAAGAACCCTCATCAGAAACAAAAAACACTACTGAGACGAATGGAGGTTTGAATATATATATTTCTCTTAAGCACGCTACAAATTAACTGGATATATAATAATTAATGGCCTATCATATTATTTTGAGTAAATACTCTTTTGGGTCCCTAACAAAAAACACGATCTCCACTTTAGTACTTTACAAAAATAAATTAGTCAAGTGTACCCATTTTAGTCCTTTTGAGGGACTAATATAAGTCTTTTTTGAATTTGTGAGGGACCACAATTTAAACTAAATGGGTCCACTTTGAATTTGTTAGGGACTAACTGAATAATTTATTTTTGTAAGGGACTAAAGTGGGAACCGTGTTTTTTGTTAGGGACCAAAAATGGTATTTATTCTATTATTTTTAAGGAAAAAGTTCACCAATGCTCCCGTGGTTTGTTTGTTTCAGAATCACCTATGTTCCTGTGATTTTTTTCTATCACATATACTCTTGTAATTTGCAAAAGGGTATGTTTTTTATCACATATGTCCCTGTGATTTTTTTATTTTTACAAAGCACAGGAATATATGTGATACAAAAAAAACTACAGAAACATAGATGATTCTGAAGTAAATCATCTTGAACCACTAGACGATGGGGGCATACTTGCCCGATCGCCATTAGACTACGTTCATAGTATGAGCAGTTTTTTTTAATTGTCAATATAAGATCGGCATTGGTCAACTTTTCCTTTTTTTTAATACTAAAACAGAAGAAAAACTAGATTGCATTCAGGATTTCCCACATGCCTTATGCTATTGAGACAATGTTTGGATTAAGGAGAGAAAAAGAAATATATATAGTGAGGAATGTGAGGAAAAAATAGATATAATAAGTCACATCCTTTTAAGTGAACTTTATATGTAATTAAATGTTCATTAATAAATGCTAATGATGTAAGATAATACATATTCTACAATTAGCTTCAGAATCTTTTATAACCTTAGGATTATATTTTCTTATGCAACGGAAGATATGATATCTCACGTTGCATAGGAAAATATAGCGTGAGTATCGTTATACAGAAAAAAGGAAAAAAAAAAAAATTTGAAGTGGGATTCACACCTTTTTGAACGTGCAAGAGACACTTGTTGTATTTATCAAGTGAGGTTAATATTTCCGATGACATAAACAATCATTTCGCAGAACACAAAGAGAATTCAAAGGGATCTAAGATCCGACATCTGATTCCAAAGTCTCGACACCAATCAATCGACAGCGAGGGCAACCCGACAAAACACAGGCACACGCGCCGCCACCAACGAACATCGGACCCATCCGCAGACTCCTCAACTCACGGATCCTCAGGCGGTTCTCGACATCGCCGACACCGCCGCGGCTCAAACCAAGGCTTGGAATCGCCGTCGCAAGATGCGCCGCCAAAACACTCTCATCGGAGGAAATCGAAGAACTCCGAAGACGGTTCCTCCCGAAGATCTTCCAAAGGAGGGGATTCATTAACTGATATCTCTCTCACGGATTTCGGATCCGGGTCGACCCAATAGAGTTTAATTTGAAATTGGAGTCAATGTGTAAGAGTCAAGGTTAAGAAAAAAAAGAAAAGAAAAGTAACGGTGATTATCGCTTCAGAATCTCAAAATGGTAGGCAGTGAAGACGAAAAAGAAGAGGGGGGAAATGTTAATGTTATTGTTTTACAAGTTGTAAATTACAGTTTTTGATGCAATCGTTTAATTGAAGGTGTGATTTTCCCTTCTTATTTTTTATATCTTCTTCTTTTTGTTTTTAAATTTAATTTATTGAGATTATTTTTTATTGGAATTGTTTTTTTTAATTCTTTACCAATTTGATTGGAGCCAAACAAGATTATTGTATATGAATTTGATCGGTTTTACTAAATAATTGTTCGAATTTAATCAACATCTGTTAGTTACTTAAAGCCAATATAAAATTGGTCAAATCTAATTTCTTAACCGGAATTGGAGTTGATAATCGTGTTTATGGAAAGACGTGTGAAAAGAGAGTGGATAAATTGATTCATGGAGTAGTAGAGGCTTTTATCAAAGACAGGAGAAAAAGAAAAAAGAAAATGGTCTTAAACTTGCATGGCAACTTGGTGTTAAGAAGCTAATAGTTGAGGGGGATTGCTTCTAAGTCATTTGTTTCCTCCAAGCTCCGCTCTCCAATCCTAGGCACTCAACGTTGTTAATGAATTATGTCATTATTGATTGTGCTCTATTTTCTTATTCTTTATTTTCTTTTGTGACTGTAATATATCTTGCTCTGTATAAGAAAATGTTATGATCCTAGTACGAGATTTAGAGTCCTACATTGAAAATATAATATTTTAGTGTGAGGTTTATATTGACTTTTGGACTTTTTTACCTCATAAGCTAACTTTTAGGGTGAGATTCTTCAAAAGTTTGTATCAACTGGTATAAGAGCCTTTCACTATGTCTCCTAGTTGCAATCGATTTCATTGTTCGTCCAGAGCTAGTAAAAAGACTGCAAAACGTAGTGAAATATTACGATCACATGTCTCATATAAAAAAACATAAGGTTTTTTAGTGTGGGGTTCATATCCACTTTAAGCTTTACTACCTCATGAGTTAGTTTTTGAGACGAGGTTTTCCTTCGTAACAGAAACATTAGCCTTTATAAAATTCTTATCACATTTCATGTCCACAATAATTTTTTTATTCATGTAATGATTTAATAATTTATTGGTGTGCTGTATGATTTTAATTTGCTATTGTTTATGGAAGAATTATTAGACTAGTTAATTTTTAACATGACCATAGCAAAAAGTGAAGTTTTATCTGAACATTCTTTTTAAAGTATTTGATTAGTTTGGTTATCCATTCAAATGCAATTGGCTTTGTTCATTTTTTTGATAGTGTATAGAACAAAGTTTCTTGTTGGGACTCCATTTGAAAATTATAATCAGAATCCATTGCTAATAACTAGTTTATTCTGAAGAAACCATAAACCCTATATCACTTTTCAAGATCCTGGCTGGAACAAACAAGAAGCCAGTTAACTCTACATAAATGTTCAAAAAAATCTGCCTCAATGAATTAACTAATCAGTCACATTTTCCAGAAGGAAACAAAAACACTTTACACATCACATGCATTCATACATTGTACAAGATTTTTACATTTTTCAGTACATACATTAGAAGCTAGTTTCCCACAACATATTGTTGTGGTTCCAAGTTCTCCTTGTTGGAAATTTTAAAAATGGAATCCTTCTCACTTGACTTGACAACAGATTTCACAGGAGATAACCTGAAATCAAAAGTTTCAGACCTCTTTTTTGTTGGCCCCGGAGTTCCTATGTGTTGGGAGATCTCTCTTTGGTTTCCACAAAGAGTGAATATATTTTGAATCCTCAATAGTCTAGAGGTAGTATCTTTGCCATCCTCTGAACTTTGTTTAGAGCAATAGTCCTCTCTCTTTGAACTTTTAATAGACTCATCAACAGTATATACCCTCTTCTCCTCTATGATTTCTTTCTCCACTTCATGATCCTCTTCTTCTTCTTCATATACTGTGCTAAGACATACTCTTTCACCAAATTTTGGTGCACAAACACCAGTATCTTCTACCTCATTCAAAGTGTTTGAGGTATAAAGGCAAAATCATATGACTCTAAACTTTGGCGTGATCTTGCTAAATGTTGGAGTAATTTCCTTGCTGGTCTTAGCTGGGAAATAGCAGATGGTTCTGAAGTAAAGCTTTGGACTGATAACTGGTTGGGATGGGAGGAAAATTTGCAGCAGTTGTCGAGCAATCAGGTGCCGTGGGAGGAGAGTCAGAAATCAATTGCAGATTACATGGTGGATGATGGTTTCCGTCTTGAAGTTGTTCATCAATTTCTGGAGTCAGATTTGGCTGATGCAGTAACAAATCATCTCAGGCTTATTCCAAGGAATGAGGAGGATAGATTAGTTTGGATCAATAATCATCACTCAACTTCTTTGGTTAAGGTCGCTTACTGTAATCTTATGAACTTCCCAGCAGATGTTCACACTAGCTTATGGAAAAAAGTTTGGTCGTGGAATGGACCAGAACGAGTGAAAGTGTTTATGTGGATGACTTTGCTTGCTAAACTTTCAGTGCGCAGCAGAACCAGTAAGTGGAGAGGAGGTTCAAATGTCTGTCCCAGTTGTCCAAATCATGAGGAAACTATTATTCATGTTCTTCGTGATTGTAGACATGCTAGGAAAATTTGGCAATCTTGGTTTACAGGTTCGATACCCAATTCCTTTATGAATTCGAATTTGCAGGATTGGTTGACTTTAAATATCGATAACATGTGGTCCTCCAATAAAGTGAAGGACTGGAGAGATATTTTCTTTACTACTTGTTGGTTTTTGTGGAAGTGGAGAAATTTGGAGATCCATGAAGATCATTTCTGTCATGATGAGCAATCACAGGCTTCAATTTGGATGTTTGTCCAACAGATTCTGCAAGCCCGAATTTATCAGCGCCGTGGTGATTCCAACGATAGCGTTTGGACAGCCCCCAAGCAAGGGTGGGTTAAGTTGAATTGTGATGGAGCTTCTTCTAGTGGCATGAAAAAAGCTAGTTGTGGTGGTATATTAAGAGATCACAATGGATCCTTTTTGGGAAGCTTCTATTGTAATTTAGGTTCCTGCAATCCTCTTGATGCAGAATTATGGGGATTACTGAAAGGTTTGGAACTGCTTTGGGGAACAGGATTAAAAAGAATAGAGCTAGAATGTGATTCTAGCCAAGCCATCCAGATGTTAAAGGAGCAGCATGAAGATCCTAGGGACTCTCAAGTCACTAGCAGATTGAGATTATGGTTAAAAGCAGATTGGACTATTCATCTTGTTCATACCAAGAGAGAAAACAACAAATGTGCTCATTGGTTAGCTAAAGCTGGGCAGACTAATAATCTCCATTTCAAGATTTTTAAAGATCCTCCTCCTCAGTTGATGGAACTTATAGTTGCTGATGCTAGAAATATGTCTAGCTTGTTAGTTTCTGATTTGTAATTTCTTTCTGTTTCTGGGGCTTAGCCCCTCTTTATTTACAAAAAAAAAAAAAAAAGTGTTTGAATAATAAGAAGGTTGATCTGATGAGATGAGATTGTTATCACTCCTACATGTAACACCACCAACAATTCTAACTTCTTGATCATCCATGTCCAAATCCATTGATTTCACCATTCCAAGGTTCTCCTCACTTTTGTAAATATGCAACAGCCTCCTCACAAACCCACTTGGCTCCATTTCTTTGGATTCATTTTTCAAGCTTGTTGAACAATGTAGCTGAAATTCAATTTCTTCCAATCTCTTTCTCAGAACTTCAACTTCCTCCTGTTGCTGCAATATCTTTTCTTCCATTCTCCTCCTTTCCAATTCAACAAATTCATTGGCCATTCTTTGGCACTCCTCCAACTTCTTTTCCAACTCTTGCTTGAGAAACTGTGTCCTTTCATTTACCATTAGGTTAATCTCTTCCTCACTTGAGGGAATTCCTTTTCCTTCTACAAGCTCAACCCTAGCTCTTAATGCAGCAACTTCTTCTTCTTTCTTCATAAGTTTTTTGTGTGCTTCATTTTTCTCTTTTTCTCTGAGCTTGTTTTCCATTTGAAGCTTCATAATAAATTCATCCATTGCAGCAATTCTGGACCCCAAAATGACACCAGAACAAGAATCCTTATCCTTGACAGGGGGGGTAAGAGGGCCACGAACTATACATTTTGCTTTTGCTCCATATTCAAGTGTAGTGATTGTCTTGTGTATCTCCTTAGGATCAGGACTTGCACACAGTATCATTAAAAATTTTGACTTATCATCTTCAAATGAATCCTTTTAAGGGAAAAGACAGAGAAAGAAAAAGCACTTGTACGAATGAAACTCGATATAACACGTTGGCACAAAATCCAGAAATTCATTCAATTATAAACAAGAATTACCTGCAGAAGCATGGTAAGTTTGCTGTCCCTAAAAGGCACATGTGAATCTCCATTTGCAATGGACTCAACCACTCTCTTCAACGCGATATTCCCTTGATTGATCTTTGCAGTCTATGGTTTCATTAACAGCAATATAATCAGCATAGAACTTTCTAAGATTGACAATAACAAGAAACAAAATAGAAAGGTTCAAATGTTACCTGCATTTTGGCCTCAAATCCAGTTTGTCCAGCTTGCTCAATATTCTCTGATCCTGCCATGTCTACAAGCATTAGCCTCCCTCCCACAGTTGGGACATCAAGGATAATCTGATTCAGATAGGAAGTCATATATCATTACTTTCAATCAATGAAAAATGATAAATTTTATCAAAACCACTTGTACATAAAGCAATCATACTAAGCAGTGACTTCTAGAACTCCTGTCATTACAAAGGGTGCTTTTAACAATCCTTCTCTTCTCAACTTTCTGAATTTCTTTTGAGATCTTCCCTGCTTCATTTCCAGACATATAGGTTGCATTCTTAGCCTTTTTTCCCATCACTTCAAGTTTCACCTATGAGGGAAATAGCACATATAAGAAACGGATAATTCATTTAAAAACAATTGTTCAGAACAACAATGTCCTCTCTTCTGCTATTATTAAGGTATCAAAGTCCACTAAGACAATTTAATCAGCTTCTTCACACAAACCATTGTAGAATCATATAATCATATATCCAAGCAAAAATGCAAAGCAAACTGAGCCAAAAATTAAAAGAAAACTTATAATGACCCTATAGGGTAAATCTTAATTAGAGATTTAATTTAAGGATTTAAATGCCATAATTAGATTTAGTGAGTGATTTCGAGTATTTTGACTGTAATCATGACTATGTTATGAACAGTGCGTTCTGCCGGAGAAGTTACAGTTTTGTGAATTAACCGGTAGAGCTTAAAAAGAGCAAAATAATTTTAGAGACATAATTTGATAATTCTGACGACAAATATGAGTTCAGAAGGAAAAATTGTATAGTCTGGCACTTTCCGTGAAAATCTCGTGAATAGTGTTTTTACCGGGTATTTTGTACTGCTGTGTAAGCAACCGGTAGAGTCCAGAAACAAATAATTGATGAAATAAGAATAGGAAAGTCCAATATATGCCAAGCAAGTCAATATAGGCCCAAGAAAATGATAAGTTTATAAGTATTAAGTTTCAGAATTAAATAAAGTACAGTTAGTGGTTCACAGTGCATTTCGTTAAAAACGGTGCAAAAACCATACTGTGAATTATGAATATTGTTCCTTAGGAAATAAAAATTAATTTAAATAACTTTAGAAAAATAAAAATATATCCGTAGCTTTAAGATAAGTTTCGGGTAAATTTAAGTGAAATACGCGATAGAAAAACATCCGACAAAAGGGCCACATGTGCCTAAATAGCTTGGCCACTTAAATGAATCACTATTCACTGCAAAAATTTCTTCTTCTCTCTCTTGAAGGGCCGAGCTTCAGCCATGGAAAAGGGGGGTTAGGGTTTTGCTTGTTTTGTTGATTTCTTCTTGAATTCTCAACCAAATCTTATGACCCACCACTTGAAATTGATTAGGAACCACTCAAGGAATCCATTGCACCTATCCATTTGAGCTATAGTTGAGTGTGTGAAGAGTTATTCCTCCTCTTATTTTCGGATTACTATTCATAGGAGGAGAAAAAGTGGGTTTTTGATGGAGCTTTGCTTGGAGGTTATTCTCTAGGCTTTGTACAAGTGATTAGAGGTAAGAAACCTCTATTTCTATGGTATTATTTTGTGATCTATGTTTTGAAAATTTGGAGCATGTTTTGAGTGGGAAATATTTGATGTTAGAAGGTGAAAATTATGATGGATTGTTGTTGGTTAGGAATGATAGTGTTTAGTAAGCATTAATTTGTGATAAAAAAATTGAAAAGCCCTAGTGCACTTTTCCCCTAGGTTTCGGCCTTCATGGCTTATATAGGGTTCATCATGCAAATTTTTATTGTATGTTTGAAAAGGTAAAATATGTTGGAATGTAGTGTAAATGGATTAATTGGTGGAAATGCCAAAGTTAGAAAAAATCCTACAAATACTTGCTCTATGTTGCGAACTATAGGATGTTTAGGGGTATATATATATTGGTTACATTTTATTCTAATAAAATGTGTTGCATTTTAATATACCAATGGATGAGCTAAGAAGTGAAATGCTTTGACAAATGGTTGAAAAATACCTTGAGTCCCTAAGGGTATGCCCGCGACTTTTAAAGAAAAATAGCATGATTTATGTGAAAAATTCTTAAGTAAATGCTTGATTAAATTAAAGAACGCCAACGGGTGTATAGAGGTCTAGACTTGTGTATTGGCATAGAATTGGCAAAAATATAAAGAAAGGAAAATAAGCGATAAAATGTATGCTTATGAAATAATCATGGTATTGCATCATCTTATTGATGCATTGTAAATTATTCTCTAGGTGTGCCTAGGGATTGAGAAGGATCGGAAATCTCTTGAAGCGATAAAAGTAACTTGTTCCACAAGTAAGCGTATTGGTAAAGCTTCAAGAGGTAAGCTCTATGTTTAAGGAGTCTTTTCCTGCTTGAGTGCTCCACCATGGTTAGTGAACTATGGTTGGACTGTATGACTGTGATTTAGATGCTTTGTATAGATGCATTCATATAGAGTTATTTGATAACATGATATGTTTTGCTCTGATATGACTTCTGTAATATGATTTCTGTAACAATCTCTGGCCATTGATTGTATAGTACCCGGATGTCCGCTTTGGGGTCCTCCCTCGGGACTGATGGTGTACGCCTCTGATATGTCTGGTTCCGCTTTGGGGTCCTCCATCGGGAACACGTGCGTTGATTTCCGCTTGGGGTCCTCCCTTGGGAATGACGGCGCACATCTCTGATATGATATGGATATATGATCTGTTCTGTTATGATATCTGTTATATGTTGTATTTGTATACTCTGTATCTGACTTTCATGCAGGAGTGAGCCAGGGGTATGGAGAATTCTCTATAAACCTGGAGCTTATTGAGATTTGTAATCTCACCCCTCTTGGGGACATATTTCCAGGTGCCCAGATTCCCGGTGAGTCCTCACTAGGCAGGGACACGACACGTGGCTGAGGCAGTTGACAGATCGGATTTTGGGTGGCTGTAGGCTACTACCTTTTGGAGTGTTTGTTGTCTTTTAGTATTTCCGCATTTGATGGATCACGATATTGATCCTTTATTTTGTATATGTTTTGTACATGTCTGTCACTTGGATGCATGTACATTTGGGTATTCAGGCACGTCATATGATGATGTATTATTCAGTTTATGATTTCGTATTGGATTGCATGTTGATTAGGATAGTGGCACGGAGCCATATTTTGCATGCGCCCATGGATGGGTATCTGATTGTATCTGCATGACTGGTACTTCTGGATTACTATGCTGTATAAACTGTTTATCAGGAAATGCTTCTGAGTGGGATTGGAAAATCCCCAGTTGTCCGATTTATAGAGGAAACTCTGCCCGATTTTCGTTTACCCCGAGTAAGATTTAAAAAGAAAAAGAAAAAGTTAGCTCGTATTTTCAGAAGTTAAGTCTTCCGCTGTTTTCTGTTTTATCATATGTGTGTTAATTGAACCGGCTCGAGACGGGGATGTTACAAAACTCAAACAGCCAAATCCGTAGAAGTCATTGAAATTGCCTATAAATTTCTCACTAAGCAGGCTAAGCAATTTATTCACTGTAATATTAGTTTCCCTGATGCTCCCAGCTTTTTATGTACATTCGTTTATGCTTGCCCAAGAGAAGAAGGTAGAAAAATCCTTTGGCAATATTTAAGAAGACTTAAGGAAAATATAATTGCCCCTTGGTTGATATCAGGAGATTTCAATGAAATTACCTGTTCAGCAGAAAAAAGAGGTGGGGCACCAATAGACCCATGTAGGTGCCAAAATTTTGCTTCTGTTTTGGCAGACTGTAAAATGATAGATTTGCATGGAGATGGTGCAAAATTTACTTGGCGGGGGAGGCTAGACCGTGTGTGCAGCAAAACCGAATGGAGAACCTTGTTTGAAGAAGGCACAGCCAAGGTACTCCCACGGATTAACAGTGACCACAACCCTCTCTTGATAAATTTATGCAAAAAAGATGGCAGTTGGCAAGAGAGGCATTCAAGCTTCAAGAAAGAAAACATGCAGGAAGGTATAGCTCCATCCAAAAAGAATGAAGAAAAAAAGAAAAAAATAAGCAGGATGCGGAGGAGTGTTAAGGAATGACGAGAGAATTGATATATTGGATATTGCAACCCTCTTGATGCTGAATTATGGGGCATATGTCGTGGTCTTGAGATGGCATGGAACCTGGGAATTAGAAAACTTATTATTGAAAAGAAGTTTTTGTATATTGATATTGAATAAATTACATGAGTGAGTATTTATACAAGAAAGAATCGCTAAGAATGACTAAGCGATGACTAATCAATCCTATCACAATCCTAATCACAATCAATTCTAATCAATCACAATCAATCATAATCAATCCTAATCAATCATAATCAATAGGAAATAAAAACGGAAACATGTTTGAATTCTAATTTTCTACACTCCCCCTCAAGTTGGGAGGTAAATATTGATCATTCCCAACTTGCCAATCAAGTCTTCGAATGCTGGACGGTGTAGGCCCTTGGTAAGGACATCTGCCGTTTGCTCTTTGGTTGGAACATATATCAAATGCACACTTCCATCATCTAATTTTTCTTTGATGAAGTGACGATCAACTTCCACGTGCTTTGTTCGATCATGATGCACAGGATTTTGAGCAATGCTAACAGCTGCCTTGTTGTCACAATATAGTTTTGTTGGAAACAGGAATGTTAGGGTGTAAACCTGCTGAGACACCTGTGGAACCTAATACCAAGTTAGGTATTGAAGATGGAAATGAGGTGGATAAAGAACAATATCAGCGATTGGTTGGTAAACTAATCTACTTATCTCATACGCGTCCTGACATTGCCTTTGCGGTGAGTATGATTAGTCAATTCATGCACTCACCCAAGGAGAAGCATCTTAGTGCAGTCTATAGGGAGCATATAGACTTCTTCATGTAAGTCACCATTTAGGAATGCATTCTTCACATCTAACTGTTGCAGAGGCCAATCTAGATTGGCAGCAAGAGATAAGAGAACTCGGATGGTATTGACTTTAGCAACCGGAGCAAAAGTCTCATGATAATCTATCCCATGAGTCTGAGTGAAACCCTTTGCAACCAATCTTGCCTTGTATCTGTTGATGCTATTATCTGCATTGAATTTTATTGTAAACACCCATTTGCATCCTACTGCCTTTTTTCCTTTGGGTAGGGTCACTATCTCCCAAGTTCCATTTCTTTCTAAAGCATTCATTTCTTCAAAGACAGCATCCCTCCATTTTTTATCATTGAGAGCCTCATGTATATTTCTCGGTATCTTTGTACTATCCAACATAGTATTGAAAGCACGAAACCCTGGGGACAACTTTCCATATGAAATATGATTAGAAATAGGATGAGTAGTACAACAAGATCGAGTACCTTTTCTGAGAGCAATGGGCAAGTGTAGATCATTTTCACCATGACACTCAAGTATTGGGGTGCTGGAACTAGAACATGGTTCAGAATCCTAGCAGTGTAGAGGCTCTGGGTTATTCACACTTTGAGGAGGCTTTCGCCTGCTATAGACTTGTCCCCATTTTGAGGAGGCTCCTGATGGTGAGGATTCTGTAGCTCCCCCTGTTTCTAAAAGTAGAGGTAATACTATGGCATTAATAGGTTCCCATGACTGATCTTCATCTACTCCTATAGACTCCCCCTGAAGAGAAGTCGAGGGGAAGAAAGGGTCATTCTCAGAAAAAGTGACATCCATAGAGACAAAGACCTTACGAAGAGAGGGTGAATAACACTTATAGCCACGTTGAGTAGGAGAATAACCAATAAAGACACACTGGAGAGACTTAGGATCAAGCTTAGACCGTTGATGGGAGGGAATATGGACAAATACAACACAACCAAATAACTTGAGAGGTAAGGAGGAGACACCTCAGAAGGAAGGGAAGATACGAACAAGACTAGAAAGAGGAGACTGAAATTTCAGAATGCGAGATGGCATTCGATTTATCAGATACGAGGCAGTGAGAACTGCCTCTCCCCAAAGATATTTAGGAACACTCGTGGTAAACATAAGAGCCCGAGCAACTTCAAGGAGATGTCGGTTTTTTCTTTCCGCAACTCCGTTTTGTTGGGGTGTGTCAGGACACGAGCTTTGGTGAAGGATGCCATGTTGGGAAAGATATTCTCCAAGAATAGAGTTAAAATACTCTTTGCCATTATCTGTACGAAGAATTTGTATAGCAACTTGGAATTGGGTTTGAACCATGGCATGAAATTTTTTAAACACGGATGCAGCATCGGACTTATCCTTTAGAAGATACACCCAACAAACTCGAGAATGGTCATCAATGAAGGTAATGAACCATCGAGTACCTGAAATATTTTTAACACGGGCTGGACCCCATATGTCGCTATGAATTAAGGAAAATGGGGAAGAGTCATGGTGAACTTTAGAAGGATAATGAGCACGAGTATGCTTGGCAAGTTGACAAATATCACAAGAAAACAAACTTGGACTTTTATTAATAAATAAGTTTGGCAACAACTTCTGAAGATAAATAAAATTTGGATGGCCTAGCCTACGATGCCACAGCATAACATCATTACATGAATCAAAAGGAAACATAGAGTTTTTTTCTACGAAAACAGCTTCATGAGTCACATCCTCCTCAAAGTAGTAAAGTCCACCATCCTCTCTAGCACTGCCAATCATCCTCTCCGAGTCCTGTTCCTGAAAAACACAACCATGTGGAAAGAATTTAGCAAAGCAATGCAACTCAGAGGTGAGCTTGCTAATGGAAATGAGATTACAAGTCAGAGAAGGAACATAAAGAACTGATGTCAAAGTAATCAGCTCAGAAAGTTTAATGGTGCCGTGTCCCGCAATCTGGGAAAAACTGCCATCGGCGATCTTGACCCGAGAAGGTTCAGAATATGGAGTGTATGAACAAAACAAGCCAAGATTACCTGTCATATGATCAGAGGCTCCAGAATCAAGGATCCAATGATTTTGACTATCAACATGGAAAGTTGTACCTTGCTGGACCACATGACTAGTGGCCTTAGGAGGTTGCTCGTGGTAATAAAAAGAGTGTTTTGAGGAAGCCATGAATAAAAAGAGAAGGGTTGACCGTTGATGAAAAATCAAGTTTTGTAAACTTTTGATCTGACCTCTGGAACAGGAAGGGGAGAAGCCGGCGAGAAGGTCTGTGCAAGTCGCGACGGAAAAAAAAACGTCTGGAAGGCGGCGCGTGGTGGCGCGTGCAGCGGCTGACGGCGATGGGTCCAGCGGCGGTCGACTCGTCGGATCCTTCTGAGTCGAATGGTCACCTCACTTTTTTGATCGGAGGTCAGTAAACTAGGTTTCTGTGTTGGACAGATTCAAGGCAGTGTTTAGGAGGTGTTTGACGGTGATGGAAGTGTTTGGATGGTTATTTCAGATTTGAATTAGGGTAGGAACGAACCCGCTTTGATACCATATTGAAAAGAAGTTTTTGTATATTGATATTGAATAAATTACATGAGTGAGTATTTATACAAGAAAGAATCGCTAAGAATGACTAAGCGATGACTAATCAATCCTATCACAATCCTAATCACAATCAATTCTAATCAATCACAATTAATCCTAATCAATCATAATCAATCCTAATCAATCATAATCAATCCTAATTAATAGGAAATAAAAACGGAAACATGTTTGAATTCTAATTTTCTACACTTATTATAGAGGGAGAATTCTCTCCGTGCTTTATCCATTTGTGACCAATCTATCGAAGATATGAGGGAATCTATAGCAGTCACCTGGGTAGAAATGGGAACCAAGTGGCTCACCAATTAGCTAGAATTGCAATAGCACAACACATTAGATTTGTTGTTTTTTAATTCCCCACCTTCTGATATAAGGCCTTTTCTCTCTTAGTTATAGAGAGACGTTAGGATGTAGTTCTTAATTTACTTTTGTGTTATGGCCTGTATGTAGCCCTCATTATTTACAAAAAAAAAAAAAAAAGAACCAAAACCCCATATACATATTCAAATCACTAATCTACATAGTACATACATAAACAATCAAACTGAGCCAAACATTAAAACAAAAAAACTGACTCCAAGTCATGAAAATAACCTAAGAAATTCTCATTGAGCCAAATAGCACAACCCTAAAGAAAAACCTCATATAAACATTCCAATCACTAATCTACATTACATACATAAACAATCAAACTGAGGCAAACATAAAAAGCAAACTCACACAGCTAAATTTGTCCAAGTCATGAACATCACCAATGAATTTCTCAGTGAGCCAAATAGCACCATGTACATATTTAAATCACTAATCTACATACATACAGAATCAAGTTCCCAAACTAGCAAAAAATTACAAAAAATATTAAGTAAGAAAAAATAATATATAATAATAGTTAAATTCAATAAATAAACTACAATACAATCAAATAATAATAATAATAGTGTCTTAATAACAGACCAACCTTAGAAGAACTTCCTTTGGGCCATCCTAGTCCTAACCCTCTTCCTCCATTGGTGGTCAAGAGATCAAAGATGTCTTCATTGTAAATCTCCAAAACAGTCACCTGAACAAAAGTTCCCATTCCTTTTGAGTCACCTTCATCTCCCTCCCCATCATGGTGATCTCCAAGAATGTCCCTTAGAGAACGGTACACAATTCCTACCTGTTTGGAACACCCAAACATGGTGTGACTCTTGCCAGAGCCAGTGGGACCGTACATCATGATCGTGCACTTCTCACCAAGCTTCACACCATTGATCCTCTCTGCCACAAACTGTTGTAGAAAACATCAAGGTCTTCTTCCTCTGACAAAGACACCCCATCAAGGGTGAAGTCCCTGTAACCGAAATCAGCACGAACACGGATCGAACTAGAGTTTTGATTCACCTGCAAAAATGATGCAGGATTTTCTTTCTTGTCATGGTAGTCGCGGATTCTGGCAATGACTTCAACTGGGTGCTCTGGATTGGGAGATTGGTGTGTTGTCGCTTTGATGCCATTGAAGTTGAGACGATGCTTGGAATGTGTAGTCTTCAAATGGGTCGTGTGGTTTTGTTTCAGAAAAGGTGTTGGAGCCATTGAAAACTATGATAGTGAGATAGCTAAGACTAGAAGAAACTGAGTAAGAAGAGTTGGGATTTGAAGTTTGAATAGAAATGTAGCCGTTACAGTCTCTAATGTCTATAAAAATATATCTTCATGTTTTCCTTATTTAACCGTGGTTTGCATTCTATCATTTAACATGACCACAAAATTTTTTCTACACACACAACATTTTGTGAGACTCACATGTTTTTTTTTTTTTAAAATAACAGCACGCAAAACGAATCTCTATAACATAATACAATTATTTTTTTCTACAACATAACTCTTATAAAATCCTTTAACCATTGAGAATTATAATTACGGTTATTTAATTAGAGAACAAGTTTTTCGTTATTAATTAAAGGGTAGAACATTATAACAACCAATTATGGTTACTATCAATCAATTTCACTGTTTGATCGATTATGTTGGTTCAACAGTTATATTTATTTTCATCTTTGTATAGTTATAACATTAAATATGAGAAATCATAACTATACAAAGGTAGAAAAAAATATAAAATATTAAATATGGAGAATCATAACCATACAAAGATGAAAATAAATATAATCGTTGGATCAATATAATCGATCTAATAGTTAAATTGATTGATAGTAATATTGGTAGTAACCCTACTTGGTTGTTATAATATTCTACATTAATTAATTGAACTTTTATAATTATATATATATATATATATGTGTGTGTGTGTGTGAGTGTGTGGGAAAAACATCTATCCTTTTAAATGATATAAGTTTATATCATTTTAGATCCTAACCGTTGATTTCCGTCCATCAACGATTATAATCTATTGGGTCAAACTTAATGAGCCAAATCTATTATTAATTAATTAATAATTTTGATCCAATAAATTATAACCATTAATGGACGAAAACCAACGGTTAGGATCTAAAAGGATATAAGCTTATATCCTTTAAAATGACAGATGTTATTCCTATATATATATATATATATATATAAACAATTACTAAGTGGTAACAAATTTATTCCCCTCAATTATATATCTCCAATTTGAGTCATGTGATTAGATGAATAATTAGAGTTCAAGTTTGAAACACTAGGTTCAACATAGTGCTTGAACTAAATTAAATTGATTTAAATACCAATAATTATAAAAAAATTAATTTAATATAAGGTAAACATATTCTAAAAATAGCAATGTACGTATTAGAGCACTATTGAATGATAGAAATATGTTTCTAAACGTTTTAAATTATTTAATATAAAATTGGGGATGAAGAGAGAATAAAATTGAAATTTTTCATAGCATTTTTTATTTCTCAAGAATATTATATAGTATCTTCACTCAAAGTTTGACCAAACAAACTCGGGTGGTAATATGAGTAACGCAATCCCTACCTTTAACTTGCCATAAGAGGTGTCATTATTTTGTCTTTTCCTACTTTTAAAAGTGAGTTAAAAATTTCAACTCATCCCATTTACGGCAAGTTGACGGTGGGTTAACCCCTCGGCCGTTTTGTTACGTGACTTTTGGCAGGATTCTCGAAAAATTAATTTTTTTTTAAATTTTAAATTTTTGAATATTATCGTAAACTGAATGTCAAAATTATATTTTTGAAAATCGAGATTTCTGGATATAAAAAAAAAATTCTCCTCTACTAAACGCACCCTAAAAGAAACAAGAAAAAGAACCAAACGGGGGAGATTGATTGAAATACGTTGCAACAAAATTAAAATATTTTGTCTAAATTATCCAATTAAGCTTAAAAAAATAGGAGATAAAAATGTTTGTCATTTTTACATCAATTATGCATCAAAACAACATCATTTCAGTTAAAATGTCACAAAATTATGTCATTTAAAATAATAAATATTTTTTTCAAAAAAAAGAGAGAAGAAAAACTTAACCCGTCATTATCCCTACCCAACCCATTTTAACCTCCCTTAAGTGGGGCAGGTTGAGCTGAGTTAAAAAATATAATCCAACTCGTCAAATTAAATAAATTAGGTAATTGATTCAACATATCAAACTATTTTATCATCTCTACACAACACATTTAAAAAATGGATTAATGATTCTAATGTTGTAGGAGATAATTTTATCTTTTATATACATATAAAAGTGTGTAGGGCCTATGTTTTTTTTCCTCTTTTCTCTTCACATGATCCCATATGGGGTTTCATACTTTTATATGAGTATATGAGATAAAATTATCTCCTACAATATGAAAAAGATTAATTCCTTTAAAAAATACAAAAACAATAAAAAAAGTTATAAGAAAATGAAAATAAGCTCCGAAACACATGCACAACGCATTGCATAGTTAAAGAAGTTTTCAGAACGTTGTGGTTTGGCCTTATTCCGAATGGGCCTACCTTGATTGGCGTAAGCTATATTTCATAAATGTTAACAAAGCAAGTCAATAGATTCTGTTCCTGGTTTATACCTGGTCAGCCCATTGGGCTCAAGCCCAAAGACCAGCCCATTTTGACGTAAGCAATATTTCATAAATGTTAACAAAGCAAGTCAATAGATTTTGTTCTTGGTTTATATCTGGTCAGCCTATTGGGCTCAAGCCCAAAGACTAGCCCATTTAGGGTCCTGAGGCCACTTACTTGGAATGACACTTCCGTCTAATGCTCTTAGCGATGTGCTTGGATTGTGGGCTCAAACTCACGATCCTTCCCCACTCTACAACGCCAAAGCCACGATCATCATAACTGCCACGATCATCGCTAGAAGAACTGCTCCAAGCCCATGATCCTCTTCTATAACCACTCATGATGATTATTATAAATACATCTACAGTATAAAAGGCAAAGGACTTCAATCACATTCTATTCAAGCATTTATACCAAGCTTACACATTGAGACCAAACCATACTCATTGCATCATGCCCCAAACACTTACCCTATACTTTTTACTATATCCAAGTTGGTGTTCACTTAGAACATATTCCAATTGCTGTTATGGGAGCAAGGCAGAAATGCAAACTCAAGTAAGAGATTCTTTTTTTAGTACAAGCACCCATCGGTGATCCCACAGATTTAACTCTTCCAGCCACCTATGGACTAATTCGGTATCGGAGAAGGAAGTAGTTAAGTATTCCCCCTCCCAACACATACACTTCCTAGGTTTCGAACTTGCATTCTCTACCTTTCGGGGGCCTTGTATTACTACTACCCGACCAACACCTTATTGGTTCAAGTAAGAATTTTTTGTGTTGCACGAACTATAATAATTCTCTCATTATGGGTTTTTAATAATCACATCTCTTTGATATTGGGTTTAATTAATTCCTTTCTTAAATTTTATTTTTCTAAAACTATCACCATTATTTACTCATTTAAGGAAAAATAAGATATACGAAGGATAAATTATGAATATTTCCTATTATTCAATAAAAATTAATATAATAGGATGAATTATAAATACTTGTCGATTTTGCATGTGTGGATGACTTTTGGATTTCTATGAATTGATTGAAATATAACTACCTCCTCGTTCATATTCTGTAACAGTTATATTAATGGAGTATTAACTCCTGTATTTATGATTGTAGACCTATATGGAAAATATATGATGATAATGAGAATTATAATTATGTAAAAATTCAGTTCAACTCAAAATCTTCGGGTATTGAGTATAGTTATATTATTGATTTTATATCTCTTCAAGACTTCAACACACCTCATCATGTAAAAGCCCTTTGAGTTTGAGGTGAGAATCGAATTAGTGACCATTTGGTCACTCTAGCTCTGTACCACATAAATAATCAATCCAATTCAAAATTTTAAGGTTTTAAGTGATGCTAAATTAGTGATTTTATATTTCTCTAATAAATTATACTGAATTTTTTTTCTTTTCTCTCTCTTCATTTTATAACATTTTCATTATAATTACAGTTATTTTCCAACATTTTTCAACTTTTTCACTACATAATCATAATTGATTTGAAATACTATTTATTTCTAAACTTAAAAAATAAGAAATTATTAGACATAGAGTGATAAAAAATAAGGAAAAATTAACTCTTATATCATATAAAATAAATTTTCTCACGTCACGTAAGATAGCTTTCGTCATATCACATAAGATAGTTTCTCTAATTTTATAAACATTACATATGAGGCCCACCGTTTTTTTTTTAATATCTCAAGAAACATCTTTTAATGAATATATAGGAGGTATATTTTTTATGCAACATGAAAAAAATATATTCCTAAAAATAATAACAATAATTACAAATAACAAACGTGATTTCTGTTGTTTAATTTTAGAATTTGGTGTTTGTCATTTTAAATGACATAAGTTATGTCATTTTAGGAGAGGGATAGACATAAAAAAATGAAAAATCACGAGAGAGAGAAAGTGAGTAGTTTTTCACTTTCTGTGTCTGTATCTCTCTTAAAATGACATAAATTTCTGTCATTTAAAATGACAAACACTTTTCCCTTAATTTTATTTTTTAACTTAAATGATAAAATAATTCAAAATATTAAGTTAAAAAAATTCAAAATTCTAATAACTTAATCATTTATTAGTCAACTCATTAGTCATATCATTCATTCGATTCGATCAATGCATTTAAATGCTGACAAAATACAAAAAGACAATTACACTAGTCAACTCATTGGTCATATCATTCATTTGATTTAATTAATGAATATAAACAATACAAAAGAAGACAAATACATTAACAACCTTTATCATTATTTATTACCCAAGGAAAAAATATAACCCCCAAAAAGGACATTGCCGAAATCAAAGTGTTCAAATTCATTCCCGGCTTAAAAATTTCAAAACTCAAAATTTCATTCATTTTCCCGCTTATACTTAATACCTCACACCGTTTCACCTTCCTTCAATTCTCATTTTCTCATTTCACTCTTCTCATTCTCAAAGTTAAAAAGAAAAAAAAAAAACAATGCAATTCCTCGAAGTCAAAAACCTAAACCCCTTCTCTCAACCCATAATTAATTAACTTCATTAATATCCGTCTCAGCCGCCATGTCCACTCGCCGCGCCGCCAGAGTAGACGACGGCGCCACCGTCAAACTCATCAGGTCCGTAACTCCTCCCCTCTCTTCTTCTCGCAAGCACCCTTCTCCTTCTAACCCTCTCCATTCCGACAAAGAGAACGTTAACAACCGCCGCAGATCCACTTCTCGTGAATCCGCTTCCAACCCGACCCAAAAACCCGTTATCCGACCCGTCCCTCGCATATCCACCTCGTCCGTCTCTAGAGGTCGGACCCCTAGCCCCACCGAATTCCACAAGATCCATCGGGTCTCCGTGGATCGGGTCGCCATGGATCCGACCCACGGAAAAGGAAAAACGGATCTGAACAAATCGAAGGTTCAAACTCGCTCAAGGTCAAGCTTTGATGGCAATGGAAGTTCCAAAAGCGAGTTCAAGTATCAGAGTGATGGCAACAAGAAGAACGAGAGCGTGAAGAGCAACAAGTACCAGAGCAAGCTTCACGAGAAGCTTGCGTTTCTTGAAGGGAAAGTGAAGAGAATAGCGTCAGATATAAAGAAGACGAAGGAGATGTTGGATATGAATAACCCTGATGCATCAAAGGTGATCCTTTCTGATATTCAGGACAAGATCTCGGGTATTGAGAAAGCCATGGTTCATGTTGTTACAACAACAACTCATGATGATGATGATGGTGTTGTTGATGAGAAGAAGAATAAGCAATTGGGTATGGTTGATAAGAGCGTTTCTAATGATGGGTTTCAAGGTGGTGAAGGGAAGAGTTTTGTGAAAGGGTTAAACAGTGAGGAATTGGAGGCTCGGTTGTTTCCTCATCACAAGCTGATTCGTGATAGGACACTGATTAAGGGTAAGGATGATGATAATTGCTCTGTGGTGAAGCCAATGGTGGAAGATAAGGTTTTGAGTCCTGTTGATCACAACTCAATAGCGATGGAGTTCTTGGATTCTCTTGGGAATGAGAAGAGTAAGGTTTCTGTTTCTACAAGAGAGTGTGAGGTTCAAGAAACGGGTGGTGGTGATGGAAATGGAAGGAACAAGGTTTGGGAGAATAATGAAAAGTGTGACATTGATTTGCTCCTCCAGGCGAATGAGATTCTTGAAGAGTTAGATGAACAAGAGAACAAAATGGAGGGTCAGGGTCAGGGTCAGGGAGAGTTTGTTGGAGATGAGATGGATGAAGCTTTCAATTTCAAGCTGAATGAGATAGGAAACAAAATTGCAGCTGCTGGATGGTTCCTGTCTGAAGGGGAGGCTGTTCTCCTTGCTCATGATGATGCTTCTTGTTCCTATTATGATATTACCAATTGCGAGGTATGTTCATGTTAATGTTATGTATTTTTGGTTGCAAATTTAAAATGTCATAGGTTTGGTCTCACCAAGTTGATGTTTTAATTTGCATATAAACAATGAGGCAGCTGGCTCACAAGATGAAGTATCATCTCTTTATCTGATGTATTTTCTGGAATCCATTTAGATCTAAGTGTTTCTCTTGGCTTGGAAATTCAAGCATGATTGATAAAGTCCTTTCAAATTAGTCAAATCAAGACCATATAAGTAAATAGATTCATTGTTTTAAATGTTTTTGGTCATTTGATGTCATTTATTACTCATTAAGTTTGAGTAATAAAGTTCTTACAAATGGGTTAAATCACGATGATCATACAAGTGAAAAGACCAATATACTCACGATGATCATATTAGTAATAAGGTTGCTTTCAAGGTTTTGGGTGAAATATGTGTTTAACTCACTGTTGTGGTTTGTTGCTTTGCTTATTGATGGAGTTTTCACTAAGCCAGACACTTCTGAGGCATGTGTATGCAGTATGCAGGCATGCTATGATATTTATGTTTGCAGTAAAAAGTATTAATAGATTCATATTTGGATTTGGATAAAGAATGAGGAAGCATTTTTGGAGCTGAAATCTTAGCATCCTTTCAGGAAAAAGCTGTATATTTGCCCCCACCAGAAGTTTCACCTAATATGTGGAGAGATTGCTGGGTAATTCGTGCCCATGGTTATGATGGTTGCTCTGGAAGGTTTGTAGTAGCTGCATCTGCTGGCAATACTATGGATTCAGGCTTTTGCTCGTGGGATTTTTACACCAAGGAAGTGCGAGCTTTCCAAATGGAGAGGGGAACAACCTCCTCGAGATCAGCTCTTCGACCCTTGCCTAATAACATTGTGCAAAGAAGGAGCTCTGAATCTAGCATTTTTGCGCCAGAAGCTAGGCAATGTTGGTATAAACCGTGCGGAAATCTCATAATCTCTACTGCCAGCTCACAGAGAGCTGTAAAAGTTTTTGACGTTCGTGATGGAGAGCAAATCATGACATGGGATGTTCAAAATCCTGTTATAGCAATGGAATATTCCAGCCCTTTGCAATGGAGAAACAGAGGAAAGATAGTAGTGGCTGAAGCTGAAACCATTTCTTTGTGGGATGTGAATTCACCTAGTCCTCAAGCTCTGCTCTCTGTTCCTTTGGGTGGTCGAAAAGTTTCTGCTCTCCATGTGAGCAACACTGATGCAGAGCTGGGTGGAGGGGTTCGGAGAAGGTTAGTTTGATTTGAAACTTTACTTTTTGCTTCAGTCTTTACCTAATATGTTCCATCTGTTTCTGGATTTCTTTGTCACTATTTTATTTCTCTGTCACCATGTGAGCACATTGCGTTGTTATTATTTTTTCCAATGATTACTGCATTCATCCTATGAATTACTACTAGTCCTATGTATCTTTATTAAGGAAGGCTCCACGTCAAAACTTCACAATACATCTTCATTAAGGAAAAGGGAATTTTCGTAAGTTCTTCAGGGTCATGCATTTTCACTATTTTCTTTCCCTATTATTAACCAAGTTTAGAAACATAATGCAGAGTAAGTTCATCAGAGGCTGAAGGAAACGATGGTGTGTTCTGCACTTCGGATTCTATTAATGTCTTAGACTTTCGCCAGCCATCTGGTGTGGGTCTTAGGATATCAAAACATGGCGACAATGTGCAATCAGTTTTCTGTCGGGGAGATTCTGTCTTCCTTGGTTGTAGCAGCTCAAGTTCAATGGGCAAGAAGCAGTCCTCATCAGTGATCCAACAATTTTCATTGCGCAGAGGAGGACTGTTTAGCACCTACGCTCTTCCAGAATCCAATACTAACTCACATGCAGCAATCTCCCAAGTTTGGGGTAATTCTGAATTTGTAATGGGTGTTTGCGGTCTAGGACTATGTGTGTTTGATGCACTGAAAAATGATGCATTACGGGAGCTCAAGATGGATTATTCCAATGCTCAAAGCCTTAGAGAAGTTGTTGGCCCAGATAACTTGTATTGTCCTTCCTTTGATTATCTGGGATCTCGTGCTCTTCTCATATCTAGAGATCGACCAGCTATGTGGAGGCATCTAATAGTTTGATAGTAATGAATTTCTAGTAACTACAAGCATTACTTGTCTATGATTACAAAACAGGAAGTTGCTTACGGCTTAAGGATGTGTTGCTGCTTTTGTTTTTCCTAGCTATGCTTTTTAAGGACTCAAGTGAAAACCCATTAAATCAACCGTTTGTCCTTATATGGAAGTTCAATTGTTGGACCTTCGGAACATTTTTCTGTCATCGCCGCCCATCAAATCCTAAAAGATACTTGGAACATTGAATGCAAGAATTGAATCCAGATAAATAGTGCCTTGCAACAATTGCCCATAATGACGTTTCTCTTATGTAACTTTTCTTCAATTGCTATCTGTTTTGAGTTTTACTATAATAGTCCATCTTAATTAATTAGTAAATCAAGTGTAATTAATTAATTAAACATGTTTTAGTGAGCAAAGTTAAGTATAAGGCTTAATGAAATGAATTTAAGTCACTTTGAAGTTAAAAAGTGTACTTAGTGAAAATTAAGGGATATAAATGGGTACTGGCGAAAGTGCCCAAAATATAAAAATAAAATTGTAAATGTTCCTAGAATAATATTTCGGACTTTTGGGTAAAGTTTGGTAATTATTGGAGTTGAACAGATAGACGAACCAATACCCGCTTAAAGCCACTTAACCAATGTTAAGTGACTAAAAGCCAAAAGAGCCCCGTTTCCCACCCCATTTCGTCGAGCAACCAGAGAAGGAGAAAGAAGAAGAAGGAGAAAGAAGGAAGAGAAAAGGGAGAGAGAGAAAGAGAGAGCAAATCTCAACCAAATTCATCCGTTCAAAAGCCTAAACCACTTAGATTCTTCCCCTCTTTCATAATCCTAGCTTTGTTTTGAGTGAGAGTTATTGGGGAGAGAGATATCAACCCTCCAAAATTCGCCCCTTTTGGTGAGAGTTGGGGTTTTGGGGTGATTCTCTCCATTTAAGCTTGGGGAGCGCTCATCGCATCGTTGTGTGGTCATTGATGGTAAGTTTCCACTACTTTGCACACTAAATCCCTAGATTTTTGCATGAGTTAGGGTTTGTGAATAGTGTATTAGGGTTTTCATAGAAATGTGATTAAATTGGCTATGCTCTAGGAAGTTTGAGACTTAGTAGATGTTATGAAAAATGCTAGAAATGAGCTTAGTAGTCAAATGAGTAGGTTTGGAAAATTGCAAGAATATGACACTTGGTTATGAGTTTTCTTGCATTGTTGAACCATTGTTTGGTTGGTCATTGATTGTATCCTTGTGTTGTCTAGGATTGAGGCAATTGGATCAACCTTAATTGACCAACCTTTGGAGCAAGCAATGGAGATGGATTAGTCCTTGAAATAGGTAAGTTCATCCTTGTGTTATGGTATGAATAGGATAGCTTGGATTGATGATGATGAGTTATCCTTGAATGCAATATGTTAATTGCATTACCCTTGTATAGGTGTATGTTTGTAAAAGTTGATTGCTGAAACTGTTGGTGAAGAACAAAGGTCAACTGAAGCATTGAGGTAAGCCTTCGGACCTTGGGTGTAATTCCCTTGATTGTTCCACCAAGCCCTGAAAGGGTAGTGGTAGTTATAGTGTATATAAATGCAATAAAATAGTGTAATGCTTTGTTATACGTATGTGTATGCATTTGGTGTGCCATAGGATGATGTTTCCCTATGTTGGTATGTTGCATGACGATGCGTAAATCATACTTGGTAGTTAGCTGGCCAGTAGGACTATTTGCATCTGAGTTTCCTTAGGACAACTTGAGAGCTCGAGGAATTTCTCCTGGAGATGTTATTGCACTTTGCATAGATATGTATTTACTGCATTATTATTGTTATTGCTATTACAGTGATATGGAACTGTGGGGTGGAGAGATGCTCCAAGGACCCCTGGTTTACTGGATATATTCGTATATCTCACCCTGTGTTGTGGGGACCCCCTTTCAGGTAAGGATGCTGCAGGAGCCTCTGGTGGCAAGTGGCCATATTTGGATTAGCATATGCATGAGGATCCTAGATGTTGATATTATACATGTTGTTTTGTAGCTTACATGTATAGGATTGTAAATCATAGACCATTGATAGATGTATGATTTGTATATTGGAATGGACTTAGCCTATGCTCATGCCTTTGGTCATCTCTTTTGTTGATGGGAGCGAAGGGAATGATCATAGTATTTTGTAAGCTAAGTTCCATGATTTGTAATAGATATGTATTGTAAATGATGCCTACTTGAAATTCAATATATGCATGCTTGTTATGTATTGAGTTATTGAATTGGTTGGGCTGAAAATCAATTAGGTACCCTTTGTTTAAATTGGGAAACGATGAGAAAACAAAGGTTATGCTGCCCAAATTATAGCTAGATCTCATGAGGAGAGGTTGGATGAGTGCTAGGATTTAGTTTTGGGGCATGGACAATTGGGGTTTGGAATGAGGATGCATCTTCCCCTAGACTTGGACTTGAAGAAGGTGGGAATTGGAATTCCCTGGCAGCGCGCTTAAGCGCCCAGGAGCGTGCTCAAGCGCCCTGCTGCCCCTGTGAGTGCCAATGCATTCGGCCTCCTCGCGCTGGAGCGCCCAAAGTGGGGGCTTAAGCGCCCAGGATTGCGCGCTGGAGCGCTCTGGCTTGCGCTTAAGCGCCATTCGCTGCAGAAAGATGGGATGCTTACTGTCCCCTCGAGTTTTAGCGCCCAGAGTGGGGCTTAAGCGCCCAGGGTTGCGCGCTTGGGCGCCCTGGTCCGCGCTTAAGCGCCCTTAGCCACTGAAGGAGGAGATGCTTCTGTCTCTGCGCGCTAAAACGTCCCAATGGGAGCTTAAGCGCCCAGGATAGCACGCTTGAGCGCCCTGATGCGCGCTTAAGCGCCCATTCACACTGAAATACCTGATGCTTCCTGCCTCCGTGCACTTAAGCGCCCAGATGGAGGCTTTAGCGCCCGATAACGCGCGCTTGAGCGCCCGGTAGTGCGCTGATGCGCGCGGGGCCTGTGACCAACACCCTCTTGTGCTGTTTCAAATTGTCATAACTTGGGCTACAGTGCTCCGATTTGAGCGCGGTTTGAAGCCACTCGTAGCTAATGTAGAGATCTACAATATAGTAGAAGTTATGAAATAAATAGGAAGTAAATTAATGGTTTAAAAATGGAATAAGAACATGATGTTAAGCTTAATTTATCTGATTTCGCAAGGTAATATGGTTATGATCACGAAATTGGGTATTATAAGTTCGGTATGTTTTAAAATGAAAAATTTATCCGGATTTTAATTGAACCCATGTGATTGTAACTGCACTTAATATCATAATGTGATGTTAACAAACCGGTTCTAGAACGGGGTGTTACATTTTATGGTATCAGAGCAGTTTCGTAGGGAATAACTGTTAGCTATTGTTGAGTATGCTTAGTGTTTGATGCTTTATAGTTGTTTTAGTACTCTGTATGATTATTGCATTTGTGATCACTAAGTGTGGGCCTGATCAACTCACTTCTTTGTGTAACATGTGTAGTGACATGACGAGGCACCGAAACAACCCCGGACCATCAAACACCAATGCTCAGCCAGAACCTGTTTTGGCTGCTCTTGTGAGGCCTAGAAGTGGCCGTGGGGCACCAGGCGTACAGCCTGATCCCATGGCTGAAGCTCTTGCAGCCGTTCAGAGGGAGTTGGCTGCTAGCAGGCAAGCCAATGAAAATCTGATGAAAACAAATGAAGACTCGCGGACTGCTATGGCCGCGATGATGACCGAGTTGAGGACGTTGAGGGGTCCTAGGCCCATGAACCGGCAACCCACTCCTCCTCCTCACACTGCTACGCCTTCTCCACCTCCTTCACAGGAAGAGGGTGTAGTGGGTAACAATGAAGGTGAGGGTAGTCACCATTCTGGAAGTCGTAGTCATCACACCGAGGTTCGTCAACCTCGAGTTGAGAATGTCGGTGGCCATGAAGTGGAGGAAAGACGATTGATGGCTTTCTGAAAACACAAACCTCCTTCTTTTAAGAGAGGTTATGAGCCAATGGCGGCTGCAAAATGGCTCCAAGCGATGGAGAAAATATTCAGGGTGATGAGATGCCCTGATGCAATGAAGTTGGCTTACTCTGTTTATATGCTGGAAGAGGAAGCGGAAGATTGGTGGGCCAATACCGTGCAGCCATTAGAAGCTGAAGGTCGGGAGATCACATGGCGGTTGTTCGAGACGTCATTCTTGGACAACTACTTCCCTAGAGAGGCTAGGGAACAAAAGCAGAATGAGTATAACAATCTCAAGCAAGGGTCGATGTCTATTGACCAATACTTCAGTAAGTTCAATGAGTTGGTGAAATACGCCAACTATGGGCGAACCTTACCCACTCCGGCTGAAATGACCTCCAAGTTCCAATGGGGTCTTAATGAGAAGATGTCTCGGAAGATGTCAAATTGTGACATCCGAGAGTTCAGTCGGTTTGTAAATCAGTGCAGGAAGGTAGAAGAAGTGTACAAGGTGTCCCAAACCAAGAAGCCTTCCGAGGCCCAGACACCTAGTTCCCATAAAGCAACGGGCTCAGGTTATTGGAAGAACAGAAAGATGCAAGGCAAGAAGCTAAATGTGAATAGGCCCTTTGACTTGTTCAAAAAGCCCGGGACTCAGAAGAATTTTGTTGATAGAGGACCTCCTCCCAAGTGCAAGGGATGTGGCAAGGAGCATAGAGGTCCATGTGCTACCGGTGAATTGATCTGTTTTAAATGTGGAAGATCTGGTCACTATTCCAGGCAGTGTCCTCAGAACGAAGCGAGGACTATGGCAGTTCAAGCTACTGCTGTTCCTGTCTCTGTTGTTCCACCTATGCTAGAGTCTCA